CTGCTGCCGCCGGATCTTCGTATGGTACTCCATTTCTTACAGCGCAGCGTGCCAACAACAAGGTGATGATGTCCTCATGGGGGATAAATAGAAACGATAGCCCCAAACTTTAAATCATCCTCGTTCTATTAGGGCTTTCAGTCATTCTTCTTCAAAACTCTTTTTATAAACTAATCGACCATAAGTGGAAAGCAAATTTGAAGTTTCGTAACAGTTCTGTTACTGTTGCGTTCATGCATTATCAAAATTTAACAGAGCCAAAACGAAGACTTTACTTTAACTTGTCTTAGCAGGTGACCCCCTATTCGGTTCTTTACCTGACCTCTGAAGCATCGATCAGGAGTCCGTTACTTCTAGAGATTGTGACTGACAAACATATATAAACACAAAGATCAGCAAAATGCGTCTAAATTTGTTCATATCCGGTTCAGTGCATAACTCCTTAACTGATTACTTCTTTGGGCATTTCCTAAGTCATCTTCTCACGGTACGTGACAGGATATTTAATGAGAGCCACTAGAATGAGATGGAACATCGCTAAACTGGTGGTTATAAATATTTTTAACGCTCTTGATCGACATCTATTCATAAATAACTGTTGTGATACTATTGCCTGTTTTCCATGCTTACGTTCAAATGTTTCGTGCAACTGATCGCCATAAATTTCAACATCAACCTTCTACCTCATCGTCACGGCTGAAGTACATTAGTCATCCGTCAGTGGTGCGATCTGACTTGCCCAGTGCAGTTTTCGTCCTTTTAAAATTGATAAAACGTGTTGGATTTTTGTGCTTCTTCATATCTCTTCATTCCGTAACTTGCCCTTGATGGAAATTCCTAGCATTTTTCACTAGATAACTTGCCACTGCACTCTCAACAGGTTGCTCATCGTTCTTCATTAATTCTTAGGTCTCGTAACCATATAGCACTGTTAGCAATACGGTTCTTTCACTGAATGTGATTCAACCGCACTACATATAGGACTGTTTTCCTGCTGTGATTATCATGGCCCAGCCGATGCAAAATGTCAATTCATTCACAAATACGCACTAACACTGATAT